AGGTCTTATCTTTTTATGCTCTAGTAAACAGAGTAAAATGGAGCATGTCAACCATTTATTGTATAGTAAAATATTTTTTGACATTGTTAACAGTGTGTAAACTATGTAAAGTATGTATAAAAAAGATTTGTTTGAAGATAGATAAATATTTTTAAAGTTTATTGTTATTAAATGTTTATAATTTTATAAAATGATGAATTGTTTTAATAGAATTTTTTTGCATTTTCTTGTTAGTTTTTAAAATAAATATGAAATTGTTCTGTAATATTCAAGTTTTATATTTTTTGTTATAAACAATAATCATATGATTTATAGTTAACTATTAAATATTTTAAGTAATTTATTATTATATAGAATAAACATATGGATAATTATATGCATTTTATATGTATAAAGTTCAAGATAATAGATTATTTGGATCATTTGCTTTAACCAAAAAATAGTTAACCACACAGAAACAATAAATCACAGCAAAAACTTGAATTACTATAATGTTTTCAGCTTTATTTAACCAAACTTCCTCATGTAGAACCCAAAAAAATGTAAGTTAATATTGAACTGAACAGTAATTTGAAAAAAAGTTCTAGAGTATATATGAAGCCGGACCATTTACAATACAAATAAAAATACTAACCTCCAAAAATATATAAAAAAAAGGACAAATACAATCAGAATAAATGAACATAAATAATAATTATGATGATAAAATGAAAAACAAAGGTAAATAAAATAAGTGAAATAAGAATAGTATTCCTACATATATAATAAGAGTATTTTGAAGGTTACATATAATTTATCTCAGAAAAGGTTCTTCATGCAGTGGCTAAGGTGTTAATCTTGCATATAGAGATTTCAGGCTGGCTCCAATATATTGCAAGTCATACATAACTCTGTGATTTTAAACGGGAACATAATAAACACCTGAGATGAGCATTGGGTTGGGAGGCTCCTTGTCATTGTGTAGGATTTTGTAGTCAGTGCTGCAAGATCATTATGTTGATGTTATGGAGAAGAGAGATATAGTCAAATATCATATATTTGGTTCTTGTGTTGTTTGGTTTGTCATTTGTTTCCAGCCTAAAACCCTCGATCAGGTATTTGATGATCTACGGATTTGATGGAGTCCAACCCCTTAGTTCTATTCTGGACATTTTCACATTGTATGTAGGCTCTTCTAATCCTAACCTTAAAGGCCACTAGTTTGTAATTGAGTAGATCATGAGGAGCCCAAGGGAATAAAAGAGGATTGTGAGAGGGCTTCCTATATATCATGGTCTTAATTGCACCATTTCCAAGCAAGAGACATCCAAGAAGTGCACTTCAGTGTTGCTCTCCTGCTCAAGTTTTAAAGTAAGCCCATAAAGTTGATGTCATTGATGAATTGCTGAATTTCAGGCCATTTCCTTTGTATGATGAACACATCATTGGTGTATCTGGCATAGAAACCAATTTTTGTATTTATCTTTCAAATTCAATTTATTGAGAAATGTAAAAACTTCAGATTAAACTTATAGGAGCTGATACACAAGTTTCAGAAATTATTCCTCTGAATAATTAGCATGTTTTGTATTAATTAATACACAGATAAATCATCCAGGGTGTCAAAAAACTAACTATGGGGTTTCAAACACGACTATTTTTGGTAAGAATCAGGATAAAATGATGTTTTTAGTATTTTCATGAAGTGACAATGTCCAAGTTTTAGTTCGGTAAGCCACAAAATTTGTTACCACTGTGTTAGACCTCATTTGTGAAAGTGACGGCTATCTCAAGAGCATTTTGTTTTCTGATTAGGCAACTTTTCATATCTATGGAGTAGTGAATTGCCTTAATTGTTGGAATGGAGCTCAGCAAATCTTCATGAACTGGCATAGTTCATTTGTAACAGTCTTAAAGTCAATGTCTGATGTGGCATCATACAAGATCAAATTGTTGGTCCAGTTTTTTTCCCATGAGACAACAATTACAAGCATTTCATACCTAGATATGCTAAAGAACTTTGTGTTTTTATAGATTGAGAATATGGAAGGTCTGATTTTTAACAGAACAGAGCACTGCCCTACTATGCTGAGATTGTACAGAATGTGCTAAATAACTGATTTCTAGGAAAATGGGTAGGCAATTTGGTGCTAATTGATTTTTTTCCTCTTGGTGCTATATTAAAAATGTAGTCTATCAGGAAAAATATTTTTGACGGCTTGTATATTGTGTTACATAACAGACTAAACACTCAATAATTGAAATTTTTTAGTTTTTAACTTTGAAATTACTTGTATATTATTCATATAAAGACGAGATATATTTATAAGTTAAATTTATGAGTTCTGTCTTTAGATTATAGATAAGTGTACATGTGTTTCTGAAGGTCATAAGGAAAACCTATAACAATTCTCAGCTTAGAAAAAGTTAAATGAAAATAACTATGAATAATGAAGAGAATTAAATGTTGTTTAAAATCGTCAAATTAATATTTTTTATTGAATTAATAATTTTTTACTTTATTATACTGAAAGAAATGGCATATAGTATGAAAATTGTCCTTCGTTTTTCGGCTGCATTAACTGAAAGCATAGTAACCGAGAACTGTTCGTATAAAGATTAATATATTCTATTCTTTAATAATCTTATCGTTTAGTTTCTCCTGCAATTTGTTTTTTTATTTATTGCACTTTATATTATATTGCAGAACAAAATTAAAATTTCAAAAATAATTCTGTACCGTGCTTCTAGATGCTGTTTAATTGAGTGTAAATTAAACAATGGTGTTTATAGGATGTTACGAGTTAAAGCTTTTGTTTTAATATTAGTTACAGCTTACTGTAAAGTTGATGACTGAATTTATGGTCGAGTTAGTTACAATTCATAAAGATTGAAAAGAGCATAAAAGAATACCCGGAAAGAGAAAAAGACACTTCTTTTTGTTTACAGATTTTTTATGAACCTTAAAACTAAAATATTTTGAAAGACACATTCATCTTATACATTCTTCTTATCAAAAATGCATCCATTATTCATAAAGACACATTAAAACTACATCATTGTCTTTAAAGTGAAATGCATTTACGTTGTTTTAAATATCGAGTTTGACAATTTTTTTTGACACTCGTATATGTATAATAAGATATTTTACTGCTAATAATTTCATTTTTGTAATTAAAAAAATAGCTTCTAGTTTGATTTGATTAGTAAACAACTACTGAACTATTTCTATACGCTATTGAATTACTGAATTTAAAACAATTACTTTTTATTAAATAATGTTTGAATTACAATAAGAACACACAAAGTATTATATTTCAGTTGATTAACCTTCTATTTGATTTACTCTTAATACAATTAAAGAAGGATTATGAAAAAAAAAAAAAACAGATGTTAATCAATCATCTTTGACAATTTGTGAATTATTTTTAGTATACAGTAAATCTTTATATTTAGGTTACATCTAAAAGAAGGTTTTATTCATCATTTTGGTAAAGTAAATTTGCTTTCTGTAGTCAGAATGCCAAAATGTTTTTTAATTGTAAAAAAAAAAATAAATGCTAAGGATGAATGCCAGCTGTTGTAGCTAGTCATGGAGAAACAAATGATTTATTATTAAATTTTGAGGGAATTTTTAAACATATTCTATACTTTAATTATAAATTAATTCAACAATATTCTGTTTTCATATTTTTTATTAGTATTTTTTTTCAACATTAAAGTTATAAAAGATATTAAATTGTTCTGCTTTTAACTTAAAATTTTTATTTTATTATTATTATTAATATTAATGTGTGATGTACGTATTCGTTATAGAATTTTTATTAATGAATAATTTTCCTAGCTTCTTTTTTAAATTTAATAGGAAATATTCCTTATAGCAATTGCAACTTTTTTTTATTAAACCTGTATTATGTTATATTTTATTGGCGTAGAAATCTCTCAACACTTAAAATCTAAATGCTTGAAAGCTTTTCTGGCTCATTTTCAGAATGTTGTTAATGTTTTTTTTTTAAATATATTTTTAATGCACATTCTAGAAAAAGTCCAAATAATTTAATTGGAATGTTTCTAGAATATGTAATATTTAATTTTAAAGAATTTGTATGGCCTGAAAATGAGCCAGAAAAGCTGAAATGTGTTTAGATTTTAAGTGTTTTAAATTTATTCCGATAAAACTAATTTCTTGTAACATCACTTCAAGTTTTTCTTATTTTTACAGTTAAGTAATTTAATTCTAGTACATAGCACAGGGAAATTTACATAAATAATGTTATTTCTGATGCCGTTTCTTTACTATTTGTTTTTATTCTAGAATCATACCCCTAAACTTTGGCTCCAGGCCTACATATAAGCGTGTCTTATCCATGAAAAACTTAACATTCTTTTAAAACTTTTGCTTATATGTGAGAGCAGAGTATAGCCAAGGTTTTAAAGTAGTTGATCTTTAATTTTATGTTTTATCCTTGTTATTCTGGTGTATTTTCCATGTTTATATGTTAAACTATTTAAAATTACTAGTAAATGTTATTAAAAAACAATAAGAAATGATTTATTTGAAGAAGAAAAGAAATAAATTTTAATATTCGCCCTATTTTATGCCATTCATCAAATAAAATAGTTGATTATTATCGAATTGTATATCTTATTTATTCAAAAACTTATCTGTATTTATTTTAAAAATTGAATAATAGTATAAACTTGAAGTATTAATTGAAGGATAAATTGAAATATTAGCATTAACTTTCTTTTATTGTAAGAAACTTTCGTGAAAAATACGTACCTCTTAGCTGTGGACGCATTAACAGTCCCTACATTGCTTGAAAGAAAACATAATGCTACTGTTAAAAATCATTACAATTAATCATAAAAGACAAATTTGTTGATTTTTTTTAAAATAAAAATTACATTCTATAATGTACTGACTTTTTGTAATATTCAATGGAATTAATATTTTTTAAATGAATTAAATTTAAAACATTTTAAAATAATAAGAATTAATTAATTTTTTTTTTTTAAAGTTTTGCTCCATGGTGCCCTGCATGTAAGGCTTTAGATCCTGTATGGAAGGATTTTGCAAGTTGGAGTGAAGATTTAGGAATTCACGTAGGACAAATAGATGTAACGGTAAATCCTGGTAAGCAGAATTACAATGGAATGCCTTATTTTTAATGCTTTTCTTTATATAAATAATGTTATTCTAGATACTGTAGCAAGTTAGGTGTTAAATAAATCATTATATTGGTTAGATTTAGAATTTTAGTAAAATCAAAAATGTTATAAAAGACAAGTATCAAATGACATTAAAACTGTTCATCTTGTGGTTTTAATGGCTTTTTTCTAAAATATCAGGGCAGAACTTGGTATCATTTATTGATGATTGGCTCAACAGGTGTTATTTTGTAATATATTAGAATTTCATTTTAATGGATTACTCAGACTTCTGAAAATCATCCATTGTTCTAAGAATATGTTATATTGTGAACAACTGATTTCCTGCACGCCTAGGAAAATATTCATTATTCGAAAAATTTTCATTTTTTAATCCCCTACGTATAAGAAATACCTATACTTGAAATTATTCGGTCTCTCAAGTTCTCTATTCATTATTTTATAGAAACATGTATGTTACAAGGTTGTATATTGTTGACAATGTTGACAGAAACTTTATATACTGTAAGCACAAAAAGAGGCAAATTACATTTGTTCATTAGCACTTCACTTGACTTCGTGATTTGTTAAAAAACTCATTCACCTTGGTTTGTCTTGATGCCACTTTTCTGCCTATTGAATACAACAACTGCTCAGTATTAACAATGTTATGTACAACCTGTTTGTTTATGATGAAACTTGTCAGGAAGGTCTTTATGACTTGGAAAAACTCAACGGCCTCGTTAAATGTCGGTACTATACTTGGACTGGCATCAGATTGTTCACTAGGTGACTCTTGTTCAATCATATCAGCCTGATGTCTCTCTTTGTACAGTTATTCAATTGTACATATCACAGATGTGTATCAAATGCATCATCAAACCATACAAATTTCCAGAATGCAAAGTGCAAAGTTTACAATGTAATCTGGTAGTAATTTGGCTTATTACAAAAATATTCATTATTCTGGATCTACTGAGAAAAGATAAAATTACATTGATTTGGCAGAACCTGGAGAAAATATCCATTATTCTGAGAAATCTGTTGTTGTTATGTTTTTTTTAATTACTGAAACCCTAATTTGCCATTGTTCCATCAAAATTCTTTTCTAGGATAATTCAAACTAGCTTTATACCCAATCAGTTGACCATATTTAATATTCTTTCTACCTGAAAACAAGACAGAAATTCATATTCATATTTGTGTATACTGTAAACTTTACTTTTCCAGCTTTCCACAACTCATGCCTATTCAACATTGTGAACTTGTCACTATTCTACTACAACTAATCTAACTGACATGCTATCCATCATAATTCATAGCTTTGAAGAAAAGCATGCAGTTTTTATTGCCTACATAGATATTATTCAGGATTTTGATTCTGTCTTTCTCAATTTACTTCTTTCTATATTACACAAGTACTTTGATATATTACACTGTTTAATGTTCTTGGTTTAACAATTATTTCCTTATATGCACTCATAAAATAAAAATAGGCAATCAAGAGTTTCTGGATTTTCCACCTCTTTGTGGCATACAACAAGGTTCCATATTAAGCAATCAGTTTTTCTTGGCTTATATACACAATATCTTCTGTTATTTCTTATGCTGATGATATTAAAATATTAAATAACCATTCCTCCACTCTTCAAACTGATCTTGATCTTTTATTTTCTTTATTTTCCAAAGTTAACCTTAGAATAAACATTGATAAAATTCAATTTTCCTTTAAGTCACATTGACAAAAGCATCAAATCTCTTGCAATACAACATAGCATCCTTTGGTGTTTCTGTAGTACAATCTCTTCAAAAACTGTATTATGTTTCTCTTTTTTTTTTTTTTGCCAATTTCCAGTCTGTCACCGACTGTTGTTTCCCAATATGGGTCATGTCTTTTCCCTCTCTCCTAGAAAAAGTATTGAGGGAACTCAACAAATTATATATTACCCTTAATAAGTTTTGTTATTTACCTTACACTGTTCACTCTAATATAGCCAGGTTAAGATTGAGTCTTTTCTCATTATATGAATGTATTATGTATTTTGATCATCATATTTTTTTGTGGAATGCTCAACCTTCATGACTTTGTCTGCGAGTACCTGCTCTTCATATGCATTGCTCTTCCATTTCTGCCCTCCTTGAAGGCACTGTCTCATATGAATCCACATAATCTAAGGCCATGTGGATTTGTACTTTTATTGTATCATATATAATGTATACAATATTGAACATTTTTTATACCAAGATTTTACATTTTTTAAATGTCATTGTAAATGAATTTTGTATTATTCTTGATTTCTCATTACATTTTGGGTGTTATATTGTTATTGGGGAGGAAATAGAAGGTACATTTAAAAAGTTTCTGGAATTCCCTCCTACATGAAATAGTGAGAGTAGACAGGACATTGCATTATCACAATTTTGAAGTGAATTGTCCATGACATTGCACTGCAAGTATCATGACTGTGCCTTCCCTTTACCATGCTTTTTCAAAACTTTATTAATTAGAAAACATGACAAATTAAGTTCTATCAAATATGTATCAGACTAAGCTGTTACATTTACAGTATAACAAATTTTAAAGTAATTTTAAATGTTTTAATTAAATAATGTAGAAATTTCTCAAAGAAAATACTTAGTTAGGCGTTTAGGTTTTGGTTTTAATTTCCTGTAATTTCGAGTTATGTAAATAAATTTTTATTATACAATATATTTGTTTTACGAAATGTATAATAATATTTCACAGGTTTGAGTGGTCGTTTCATGGTTACAGCACTTCCTACTATTTACCAGTAAGTTTACTTTATTTTCTATTGTTGAGTTTTCTTAAATCTCAAATTTGAAATAAATATATTAAACCTAAAAGAAACCATTATGTTTTGTAAAAAATAAATTACATTTAATAACAAATATACTTGAATTATGTAGTGTTAAGGATGGAATTTTTCGGCAATACAGAAGTTCACGAGATAAAGATTCGTTAATGAATTTTATAGAAGAAGAAAAATGGAAAAGTCTTGATACAGTTTCATCTTGGAAAGCACCTCAGTCTATACAGTAAGTTAATTATGAAAAAATTATATAGAAATTTAAAATTACAATGTTTTAAATGTTTTTTTTAGCATCCATAAACAATATACAGTAGATCCCCCTATAAGACGGTAGATACATTCCGTTCTTTATGAATCAATTTTGTAGGAATCATAGTTTACGGACTACGGCTGTTTGAAAGGTTTTCTTTCGTAAAATTAATCGATTCTAGACTAATTCGACTCAACATTTCCAAAATACGTATATTTTTTGAAAAATAATCCGTATAAACTACGTTATAAACAAAAAATTGTAGGATTACTTACCGAGTGTGTACTCTTTGACTACGCTCGTTGCTAAAGCTTGGTTTTGTCGCGGAACAGCGCATCAAATTGCGGCCGCGATTTCTGATATTATTTTTCTGCGAAAACTTCGTTGACCTTTGGAGACATCATTAATATAAATAATTTTTATGGCCGTTAAATAAGAAATGTTTCTTTCACAAGAAATGTATAAAATTACAGTACTGGACAGACGATAGGTCGCCTAACTCGCCGTAGCGTGACGCTAGACGGCGAAAAATATATATTTAATTATAATAAAGTTACAATAAATTAAGTTAATATATAATTATATATACAGTACCTAATTTATATATAATTAATATATAATTATATGTACAGTACCTAATTTATATATAATTTATATAATACTGTCCAGACGATAGAAATCTCTCCGTAGCGTGGCGCTACGGACGGCGGGTAAGTAGTTCGGCTGCCCGATGACGTTTTATGTATTATAGGAGTTATTTTTACCGTTGTTTACGGATAATGCCACAATTTTTATAGGAATCATAACTATAGGAAACGCTTTTATAGGGGGATCTACTGTATATACTGAGATTTCTAACTTAGTCTGTTCTAACATATGCAACATCAAATACTTTGATAGTTTTGTCACCATACCTAAATATATAAGAATGTCTATGTAATATGTCTCTGTAATCCAACAAATGTGAGTCAGTCTACCATTTGTTGGATTACAGAGATGTATTACATAGAGATCTAATATACAGCAATCCAGTTATATAGTTAATATAATATAAGAATGGCTTGGTCAAACACATTAGTTATGTACAGATTTTTTATAACTAAACAGTCTGCTTGTTATGGCTAATTGGGATATTAGCTGGGTATAAGTCTAAAGTTGTTGACATTCATGAGTCCTTACCCCAAGATTCAGCCTATTCTGGGGTTTCAAATCGTTCTCCTCGCTTCATACTAGCAGACATCTCCACAACAAGTGAAGTGCTTTCTTCTACCCGTTTATATGCACTCTCTTATCAGTTCTGACCCCGATGCAGTAGCTAATCATTCTCGGTCTATGACTCATTTGTTCCTAATTCAATCCGAAAATTTGTTCATTACACTGTTTTAGTTGGTAAGAATAATGTTAAATTGATTGAATTCAAGTGTTTAAACATACCATCTTGTCTTTTATTAATTAAATTAAATAGTTTATATGTAAGTATTTGAATTTTAAGTTTTTTTTTAAATAACAAGAAATAATTTTATTAAATCAATTGTTTTCCCATCTTCAATATTTAATTTAAGCTAATTTACTTATTTAAATGGAAAAGAATATCTCTAAAATTGTTGAAATTGTTTTTAGAAATGTAAAATTATTAATGGTAAAACAGAAATAACTGCTTTACTGGTGTATGATGTTTAACACCAAGCACTTTTAGACTTATATTGTCTGTCCTCAGAGATTAATGCTGTGTTATTTTTAAACTACCCAAGAAAATTCTTTAAACAAATTAGAACCAAGAACTTTAGAACGTTTTTTGAAATAAGAACATAAAATACTTAATGTTCTAGAACCATGGTTCCCAATTAGTGGTATGTGTGCCCCCAGGAGTACGCGAAATTGCATGAAGGGGTACGCGCGGCAATCTAAAATCAGTCGATTTAAAATTTAAATGCATGAGATGAAGCAATCAAAAAAATAATGGGTGGACCATCAAAAATTCAACAATTTACAACATGATGTCAAATGCACAAATTTGTTTACTTATAACTAAAAATATTCTAAAAATTTCATCAAAAAAATGCATTTGTGACAATACCTAAATGAAATTCTTATGCAAGAAACAAAAATTGTACAATTAACACAATTTGTTTTTGCGAAATTAATTTTGAAAATTTTTGTCGCTGTTATTTCTTGCGTGTGACTTCTCGCAGAGTATAATGAGACTGAGTTTAATAATCAGTTGCGACATCTCACTTCTAAATCTGGCTAGAATTTATCATGTCAGCGAAGCGGCAATAAAATATTTACTACCATTTTGCACAACATACGTCTGCAAGAGCGGATTTTCGGCCATGGCAAACATGAAAACTAAACGTCATCACCAACTTCGACTTGAAGATGACTCGAGACTGAAGCTGACCAAAAACCAACCAGATTTTACAAAGTTGTGCAAAGAAAATCGTGCACATTTGTCACATTAAAATTAAATAATCTTATGTTATTTTCATTATTATTAGAATTGTATTTTAAAGGAAATAAATTAAAAAAAAACTTCTATTTATCACTAGCTGTCTACCCACAGCTTTGCCCGCATTATATTGAATTTTCTCATGGGGTAAGATATTTTCTCACAGTAAAATGTAGCCTATGTCCATCTCCAACATGTAAGCTATTTCTGTTCCAAATTTTATTAAAACCTGTTCAGCAATTTAGAGGTGAAAAGGTGACAGACAGACAGAATTGCCTTCGAATTTATAATATTAGTATGGATTAAGATGAATTTCTGCTATAAGGGGTACATGAGTTTGAGCTCTTTCTTTAAGTGGTATGCAGGAAAAACTAATTGGGAACCATTGTTCTAGAACATTTCAAAATTCCAGCAGCTAGATAGTAACATCTAAGTTAACTTAGTGCCTTCTGCCACTTTATCTTACCTTCTTTTTTAAAATCCACAAAACTCACAAATCAAATTCTTACTAACATTGACATAGATTGTAAACACCCATTAACTGATTACACCACCGGAAACAACTATTACTCCAAAGTATAATCAATGCACAAAATCCAGTTTTTCGCCCTCTGACTGCCATATTCTATCCAATTCCTTTTTCTTCTACTTCCTGAAGGAGTTATATCCTGAATTTTCCTATTAAGAATATATCTCCATGCCATTGGCAAACTTTTTGAAGCTTTACCATTAACAATCTCTTCCTCTAAAATCTTCTTATAAATCCTTGAGTACTTTGTGTGTTTTATATTTTCTTCTCTCATTTTAATAATTTTGCCTTCGTCCCAAATATCTTTCATTTCCTTCCTCATTCCTTCTTGATTCAATGCTGTAGTTATTTTTTTACTTCTTATGTCTTGATACTCATCTATCCTAGTTTTAGGAGTTCTCTTAGTTGCTGCTATAGAAATCTTTCTCTTCTCTTTCTCAGTTATCGGAATTATGTGAACACCTGCTCTATCAAAATTGTTATGATTTGTCTTATCATTTTGCACAAGTTCAAATAGAATACTATGTCTTTTATATTCAAGGTGGTTACAATTACAGTATTTCTATTTATAGTGCCCTGTAGTTTCAATTAATAAGCAGAATAGCACCAAAATTTGAATGTACAGTAAAACCTGTCTATGGCGACCACCCACGGTTCCTTCAAAAACTGGTCTTTTAGACAGGTGGTCGTCCAATACAGGTGGTCCTGTAATAACGTATTTCCGTACGCATTTTGCGTACTTTTTAACCATTTCTACTAAGCAAAACTCTAGGTGAGCAAAAATAAGCGAATTTTTTCAACGATAGGGCTATATTGGTATTGTATTTTATTTTAAAGATTAATACAATACTCGCATTTTCTCGATTATAATGCACACTTTCTTTTTTCCGACTTAATTAATTCGACTCAGTNGAATGCAGGTGGTCGCCTAAGCAGTTTTCACTGTATACTAGTATGTAAAGGCATAGAGAGGAAGATTATGTAGGAAAAAAATTATTTACAAAATATGCTGATAGGGGAAATACATGGTTGTACAAAATCAGATACCATATAAAGGAGTTCAGAAAAGAAATAAAGACAAATCTAAAATGCAGTTTAAAATCTTTATTCTTACAGCCTGAAAATCATTCATTGTTTATTCACGATATTGAAAGATGCCATTGACATTGCCGTTGAGCTTTGATGATATTGTTTTAGGACAGAAAGTCCGTGTGATACATGGTATGCGCCTTTTCAGAATGCAACAAATCTGGAGAAATGCTTCTTATATGGTAAATTATATTGTCCTTTAAAGCTGATAGTTAGGGATACTTCCTTAATATGTTGAACGCATTTATGTTAAGATGATGTGTTTCTGAGGAATAAATGTATGCATTGTATTATTTTGATTTTTATTTGATAAGAAATGAAATACATTTCTTCAAATGTGAAGCAATTTAAATGACTGCTGCAGATTATGAAGTTATATTAATTTGTTAATTTTGCAGGAAATGTTAATTCATTCAATGCCAGATTTTATCATTACTTTCTTTCACACTGCAGATGCTGATATTTTGATGATGATAGACATTTAAATGGCTTTAAAATATCATTACCATAACACTTTTGATTTAAAAGTATTTAACTATGATTGATACTAAGTTTTGTCTTGATTTTTATATATAAGATTTTAAGGATCTTTAGTGTTTCAAATGTAATTAGAATATAATTGAGTATATAAAAAATGTTTCTTATTCAATTAATTGTAACTACAGTAGAGCATCGATTATCCGAATCAATTGGGGACTGGGGTTGTTCGGAAAATCAAATTTTTGGATAACCAATTGTGTACAAAAAAATATATTAACCTATCCCATGTTGAAATTCGTTCAAATCCTGGCAGCACTGGTGTGACCTTCTCACGGTCGCACCAGTGCTGCCAGCTAAAACACGCACACTAACAAAAATAATATTGGCGTAGCCCAAGACAGCCAAAGATTGCAGTGCCACATCACTAGTGGAAATTTAAATTTGCCGACTGGAAAGCTTTCGGTTAATTGACGTTTCGGTTGATCGATATCAGATAATCAATGCTTTTCTGTATATGTAATCTTTATTATTTATTTTAAAATATTTTATATATTTATTTATTTATTTCAGAATGTCTATTGTTTCATATTTTTTCAAAATCTCAATGTCTCTTAGAGTAAGTAAAATTTATTAATTTCTTGTAATAATTTTATCTACTGTACACACATTAACTAGTTTTATTATTTAAAATTAAAGTGGAAACAGTCTTCTTTTCTGAAATTCAAACCATAACAACAACACATTTTATTATATAATTACAATTAATGCTAATGTTTCATATGATAGATGAATGGCAAATGAAACAAGGAAATAAAATTCATACATCTTAACTTTAAATATAATCTTAATTGCCATTTGTTAAGGTTGTAGATTATAAAGTTGGTAACAAAAATTGGATGATATTTTGAATAGGAAATTCTAGATTCATTTTCTGTTTTATTTTTGACCATATAAAGGACTAACAGGACTGATTTATTCATTTACTATCTGTTTTAAAATTCAATTGTAATTCCATGAATCTTGTCCACATAGATTTGTCTTGAATTCAAAAAAATTAAACTCAATTCACAATTTATAATCTTGGCACTGTTTCCTTAATTTGAAATATTTTATCAAATCTATATAAATAAAAATGTAAATGTTCGTTTGTTCAAAATCTTAAATCTCTGAAAGTTCTTAACTTATTGCTTTGAAATTTTGACGCAACATTGCATTCGAATACGTGCGTGTTTTTATATTATATAGATGTTGAAATTCCCCCCACAGGGGAGAGGAACAAAATTAAGGCTTACCATGAAGAACTGGTCTTCTATTATACTATTTTAGATGCAGTTTTTTGCATTTTTGATTGTGTTTTAATAGGGTACGTCAAGAGAATGTACAGTAAAGAAGGAATTTTTTGAATTCCCCACTCCGCGGGGAGTGTTATACATTTATAATAGATACATTTGAGCCACAGCTAGTGTTTAATAAATATGTTATATGTAACAAATAATTCTTGCATTGACAGATTTTGACAATTTGCAAATGTTATTTTGCGGAATTCCGTTAGTTTTTTCCTAGAACATTTACTAGTGTGAAAATGAATGCTTTTATGATTTTTATGACAAAGATGATATCTTAACATTACATGAAAATGTGTTTTTCTATAATGTTAAGATTTTTCCTTATTTTATTTAAACATTTAATTTTTAATGTTTTTCTGTGGAAATAGTTAATTTTAATTGTATTTAACTTAATTTTTCTTTGACTATTAAAGAAACTGAAATTCATTCAGTTTGTGTATTAATCTTTTATATTTCAAATATTGTATAGAACTTACGTTAATGTATCAGTTAATGTATAAAAAAGTAAAATTTGTATTCTGTATTTATTTATTTAAATTTTGACACCACAATTAAAAAAAAAAAGGAAATACAAGAATTATCTGATCATAAAATAAAATACAATTATCTGCATTAAATGCTTATTTCTGGTAGCCAGTTATTTAAATTTACCACAAAGGAACAATCCATAGTATTTAGAAGTGTTATGACATTTAGAACATAAGAATTCTGGAGCAATGTTTCATTTACATATTAAAAAACAAAGCATCTAAACATCATTAGTGCACAGGATTTTCTAAAATTAGAGACAAATGGACAGAAGTATTAGGTAAAAGAAATTGGGAGAATATAGTTACACTTCCAAGACAGAAAAATGAAGGAGGCAATTTGATATAAGAAAAGAATGAAAAATTAATATTTCAGATGATCTGGAAATCAATATTAATACTGCACATGTGCATGGCTTGTTTTTACAACTCAGAATAAAAATGTGTCATTTTAAGTATTGTTTGATCTGTCGAAAATGATTTGAAAGTTCAAATTTGGTTTTAACAGTATCTTATATTTGTTAGGAAGCTGAAGCCGTCTTAAAACAGGACAAAAACATTCCTTTGTGGTAAATTTAAATAATTGACTACCTGAAATAAGCATTTAATACAGATAATAATATGAAGCTAAAAACCCGTGAAGATTTCTGGCCCCATACACAAACCACAAACCTAAATTATCTGTATAAACAAACCACATGCATGTGCATTATTAACATCACTTCCCAGATCATAATATTTGAAAATGCAATTAAGATTTAATTTTATGTTGTGATTTTTGTTATATTGGAAAACCAATATCTGATATGATTTAAAAAATATAATTACATCAAAGAATATTTTACTCCAAAATAGAATCTGTATTTAAATTTTGTTTTGTAATCTGAAGAAGGCTTACCAATCATATGTTTTAAATTTATCTGCTGGAAAAGTGTATAAGGTGTATGTAATTATATATTATTAAATTGTAAACCATTGTTCTGTAAATATCTGTGCTTTAAAAATGTTTTGCTAAATAATAAAACAAAATTATGTTCTCATTGCCTTTAATATATAGACATGTAAATAACAGAGGTGTCTGTTCCGGTCTAACTCCCCCTCATTATCAGGATGGTATGAAATAAAGATTAAGAGGAAGATTGGTAAGATTTCTCTCAGTCAGGATCCTCACATCACTTAGTCTAAACTTGTGGATTAAGACGTGTAAAATTATCTTACCTTCCAAGCGGTTGAAGATATAATTCAAACTTGACCAGAATTTATAGGAAGATATTATATTCAAACGTTTCTACTATAACATGAGCCAACGATGGAGTTAAGCACTAACTTTGACAGTTTAGAAAATAACTATATTTATTTTATGAGATTATAATAAAGATTGAGTACATAATAATGATTACTAAGTTAACATATAGGATAAATCCAACAATTAATTATATGAGGACGTTACATCCAAACCTGTACTTCTATTGAAAGAGAGTTTACAAACAAAGTGGTTATATTACCTGACATCCATACATAACAAATAGAGAGAGTCTATTAGATTGTGGGATTATATATTTAGAGTCTTCAGAGGAGGATTACTACTTCGTCAGATACGCAGCGAGGGCACCAAATGGGAACGATGACTAAAGCCTTGATGGACTTAAGCGTAGCACATGAAACAAGACTAGAGCAAGGCTAGAAGTGACCTTTACCCTTTTATACAAATTTGACATCCAATAGGATTATTGAGATGTCACGCTATGCTTCCATCCAGGAAAGGAAGTCAAGTGATTGTAAGGATAGTTTGGCAGGTTACCACTCTGGAACTATTGTTTTGAGAGGAACTAAATATTCTTCTCTCTGAGTCAGATGAAGTCAAAGACTGATAATTTTTTCATCAAGTTTAAATTTTAAAATAACATTTTAAGATTTCTCCTAAATCCCAGATTCTCACAGTTTTACAGATTGATTCTATAATTACTTTTATCACATAATTAAATAATGTATATCCAATAAAAGAGAATTAGAATAGAGAATTTAAAGTAGAGAATATTGTTTATACTATAAATAATTTATAATGTAATAATTTAATATTGTATTAAACAAATCAGATAGTTACTAAAATAAGCCATTTTATTTTTAGACTGTCCATAATAAAATTGTAGACGAATATGGAATACCATACTGGGGATCTTATATTATCTTTGCATTGGCAACGATAGTAATAGGAGCATTGCTTGGATTGGTAAGCATATTTTATTATTGATAAAAAGTTTATTTAACCAAATAGCTTTTAGGTTATGAAGATTAAACTTATAGAAAAATTTCAAACATTTTGATATAGAACAGTCTATTAAACTTTAAACATTGGACCTGACATGTTAAAATATAATTTGATTACAGATAATTGTTTGTATGATTGATCTAATGTTTCCTGCCAAAGCACCGATGATGTCCGTTCCCGACAGTCCACAACGCGAATCCTCAGAAAAAGAGGACGAGAAATCTGAGGTAACGTATGCACTTATTGCATTCATAAAAATTTAGCAACTGTTTTATGATATTAAAATTTAAATGAAACTATATTGGTAGAAAAAATTTCAAATGAATTGGCAGTTTTTATATTCCTATTAATATAGGAATATAAATATTAAGAGTTTTTAGATATTGTCATTTTATTTAGTCACTGTACCTACCATAAAAAAGTGAAATAACACTAAAGTTTGTCATTATATGGAGCATTAATCCATGCCAATGCTTGGCTTTTATAATTTTTAGTCTGTATTTATGGTGGGTAATGGAAATAAGACCGTGATAAGAATTCAATTTGAAACAAAAAATTTTACTATTGAACTTCAACAGATCAGTTTCAGACACATGACTTTATGCGTAGAAGATATTGAAAGAGGCTTTGCTTTGCACCTATGATGAGAAAATACAGGTTACAATTGTATGAATTAACTATTAGAAAAATTGATCAGTTTATTATGAAATTATTAAACTGTCGGGTGCTTTAAGCTCAGTAATAGTGTAATTTTATTAATAATATATAAATATATAGGAGAAGGTAAAATTTAAATTACAGGTGCACTCGAGGATGGACTCAGAGCTTTAGATAACATCTCTGCTTAATTTATTGCAGTGTTCCAAATAGTATCTTTGTAAAGTTTGAGTTTCTTCAGATGTTTCAGTTGCTAAATTGGCTGTATAGACTGGCTTCATTGAGAAGAATCTGTACATCATTTTTGGTTGAAAACATTGCTAATGCTGTCTTAGAAAGATGATAGTTAAACGTGACAACTTTGTGGGTTTTAGATTTATCCTTCTTAGTTGTGTAATCAGATTGTTATTTAAAGATGATATTTTTGATAAACCTTGAAGCATACATATGTTTCACTACAGGCAACCCAGTATCTAGCGGCCTTTGTGAACTAGTTCTTTGTCACCTTGAAGAGGTTCTCCCATCTGCTAATAATCAAATTGTTTTTTACATTCATTATATGATCTCATCTGGTGACAGACTGAATTTTCCCCAGTTCTTAACATTCAATGACAACAATCCCTACAGCCTCTACCTCTGTCTTGAGCACTTGAGCAACACCATCATGTTCAATTCCTGGACATCCTTCACACTCACTGATAGCCACTACATTTTGACTAAAGTTTACAGAAAATCAGAGTACAAGCCACTATTTATTTTACAGAAAATCCTTATCTATTTAAAACATCTGCCTACAAAACTCTGGTCAAAAGAGCTTTCTCCCACTCTATCAACATCATCAACAGAGATATTGAACTAAATTATATCACAAATACAGTGAAACTACATGAAAATCCTTCAAGCATTGTCAAAAATTTTATCCTTAAGTATCAATTTGGTTATATGATAAGGATGAATCTAAAACCCACAAAGTTGTCAGGTTTAACCAACATCTCTCCAAGATTTACAAACTGTGGGAACAAACAAAGTTACCATCTCCTACAATCTCTTACATGAGAAACTCAACTGTATTCTCTTTATTAGAAAATGCCAAAGATTCAGAATACACACCAGGTGATTTATGTTTGTATTAACAATTTGTAATTTCTATTTGACATTGTTGTTGACGTCCACCAATGAAGTAATTATTCCGTTTTATTTAAAGTAATGTTAGGATTTTCAAATGTACGTTTGACTGCTATTCAACCTTGTGATAACAATTTAAAAATTGTTGTAAATCATTTTTATTTATTAAATTATGTTATATGTTGATTATTATTGGTGTAGTTTCATTATTTGTACTTAGTTAAATCCAGTTTCAAGTGTTGCATATTATTGTGCAATTTAAAACTGCCATTTCAATCAAGTGTTAGGATGTCATAATTTCAAACAAATGTTTAAACTTTTAAATGCTCAAAAAGCTTTAGAACAAGNTTTTTTTCCAACAAATGATAATTCAACAATAATACAGAACTGGCCACTCTGTTTTCTCTGCATGTACTGTGAATAGATAGCCATACACCTTCTCTCTGTAATGTATTTTAATGGTGAACTTAAAAGAGTTCTTTAATCTTTCAGAAAGTGTTTATGCCAATGCCGTGTGTTACATAAACTGCTATTAAAGATAAACAATTGAAGTATGCTAACCTTACATGTTCTTTGATAAGTGAATATATTTATAATAAATTAGTAGTACTGTACATACTAAACCGAAACAATTTTTTGTGACGAGTTACTCACTTGTCGGCGTCTTGTTCAAACATGCAATACGAACGCGCCGCGTCTGTGCTTGTTTGTGTTTGATTCTGTCACACAATTAGTCAGACTGGTAAGCTGTTAACTAGGAATTTTAGCAATTCTTGTGTTTCTTGAAAGGCGTGAGTGCAATATTATTGTCAAAAAGGTAATATTAGAGTTTTTTTTNAATGCTTGGCTTTTATAATTTTTAGTCTGTATTTATGGTGGGTAATGGAAATAAGACCGTGATAAGAATTCAATTTGAAACAAAAAATTTTACTATTGAACTTCAACAGATCAGTCTCAGACACATGACTTTATGCGTAGAAGATATTGAAAGAGGCTTTGCTTTGCACCTATGATGAGAAAATACAGGTTACAATTGTATGAATTAACTATTAGAAAAATTGATCAGTTTATTATGAAATTATTAAACTGTCGGGTGCTTTAAGCTCAGTAATAGTGTAATTTTATTAATAATATATAAATATATAGGAGAAGGTAAAATTTAAATTACAGGTGCACTCGAGGATGGACTCAGAGCTTTAGATAACATCTCTGCTTAATTTATTGCAGTGTTCCAAATAGTATCTTTGTAAAGTTTGAGTTTCTTCAGATGTTTCAGTTGCTAAATTGGCTGTATAGACTGGCTTCATTGAGAAGAATCTGTACATCATTTTTGGTTGAAAACATTGCTAATGCTGTCTTAGAAAGATGATAGTTAAACGTGACAACTTTGTGGGTTTTAGATTTATCCTTCTTAGTTGTGTAATCAGATTGTTATTTAAAGATGATATTTTTGATAAACCTTGAAGCATACATATGTTTCACTACAGGCAACCCAGTATCTAGCGGCCTTTGTGAACTAGTTCTTTGTCACCTTGAAGAGGTTCTCCCATCTGCTAATAATCAAATTGTTTTTTACATTCATTATATGATCTCATCTGGTGACAGACTGAATTTTCCCCAGTTCTTAACATTCAATGACAACAATCCCTACAGCCTCTACCTCTGTCTTGAGCACTTGAGCAACACCATCATGTTCAATTCCTGGACATCCTTCACACTCACTGATAGCCACTACATTTTGACTAAAGTTTACAGAAAATCAGAGTACAAGCCACTATTTATTTTACAGAAAATCCTTATCTATTTAAAACATCTGCCTACAAAACTCTGGTCAAAAGAGCTTTCTCCCACTCTATCAACATCATCAACAGAGATATTGAACTAAATTATATCACAAATACAGTGAAACTACATGAAAATCCTTCAAGCATTGTCAAAAATTTTATCCTTAAGTATCAATTTGGTTATATGATAAGGATGAATCTAAAACCCACAAAGTTGTCAGGTTTAACCAACATCTCTCCAAGATTTACAAACTGTGGGAACAAACAAAGTTACCATCTCCTACAATCTCTTACATGAGAAACTCAACTGTATTCTCTTTATTAGAAAATGCCAAAGATTCAGAATACACACCAGGTGATTTATGTTTGTATTAACAATTTGTAATTTCTATTTGACATTGTTGTTGACGTCCACCAATGAAGTAATTATTCCGTTTTATTTAAAGTAATGTTAGGATTTTCAAATGTACGTTTGACTGCTATTCAACCTTGTGATAACAATTTAAAAATTGTTGTAAATCATTTTTATTTATTAAATTATGTTATATGTTGATTATTATTGGTGTAGTTTCATTATTTGTACTTAGTTAAATCCAGTTTCAAGTGTTGCATATTATTGTGCAATTTAAAACTGCCATTTCAATCAAGTGTTAGGATGTCATAATTTCAAACAAATGTTTAAACTTTTAAATGCTCAAAAAGCTTTAGAACAAGTTATTGATGTTTATTTTTCATTTCTTGTTTGTTGATTCTGATTATGGAATTTATGTTCTGAAAATGTTTAACTCTGAAAAAGGTGGGCTCTTTGAGTGTTCTAGCATTGACAAAATGAAACCCATCCAACGAATAAAGCGATAATAAATATAAATACGTCACACTAACCTTGTACAGTCGACCCCGCCTATAACACTGTTGATAATTCCATTTTATATGAATTCCATGTTGTACGAGTCACTTAGATTTTACAAATGCATGAGCCGTTCATAGCCCGGCACACGTATTTTAAAATCTAAGTGACTCGTACAACATGGAATTCATATAAAACAGAATTATCAACAGTGTTATAGGGGGAGTCGACTGTATAGCTTTCCAGATAATACTTAGAATGTAACACTAATATTTTTGACCCATTTCTAGGGTCTTCTTCAGGTGTTCTATAAATTTTCCTGGTGCGATATGAGTTCTATTTTGATTTTTAAATGTTCCAATTTCCAATGCTTCTATCTGTGAAAATTTATGTTTTAAAATTTCAAAATTTAAATTTCCAAAAGATGTAGCCTGCACTTCTGGCAGTTATAGCATTGTGTCATAAATAGTCTGCCATGCTCTCGATAGTTGTTTTTCTTCTTTAAAATTGATTGACAGGCCTTTGCAGTCCGCTTTAAAAATTTCTAACGCTTCCAGACTGCAAATTTTTAAACTATAACTGCCAGTGCAGGCATATGTCTTTTGGAGATTTAAATTTTGAAATTTTAAAAAATAAATTTTCACAGATAGAAGCATTGGAAATTGGAACATTTAAAAATTGGAATAGAACTCATATTGCATCAGAAAAATTTATAGAACACCTGAAAAAGACCCTAGAAATGGGTTGAACATGTTAGTGTTATGTTCTAAGTATTATCTGCAAAGCTATACAAGGTTAGTGCGACATATTTGTATTGACAAAATGTATTAATCATGTAGAACTTAATGCATTTACCTGGCAATTCCTGTGGACTCAGAGTTATTAATTTAATGTTAGAATAGGACCTGTCTGTTCTAGTTTGACTCAATGGGGAATGGAGGTCTTCCATATTTTGCCAGAGATCTTTCTAAGGGACCGTGAAAATTCTACTCATGAAATTAAAAGAATTAGTATTAGGTAATATTAGGCCATCCTCTTTATACATTTAAGAAGTATAAACATAAAGGATTCATTTGTGTCTCTGACATTTGAAAAAAAGTGCACCAGCAACTTTGGAACTCATTATACATTTGAAATATTACTTTATGGAAATGTCTAATGCTTACCACAAATATTTTTTATCTCAAGATTTAAATGATAAGTATTAAAATTAATCTACATATTCGTGGAAAATACTAAAAACATATTAATGGCCTTGACTTTTTTAGAGGATATTTACTTTCTAAAAGTTCATTAAAAACTTAATTACATGTGAGATTTAACTTAATTGTCTCAAACTGTCTGACATTAACTTTCGAGGAACCGCTACTCATCGATGAATATGATTAAATTGTATGCAAATAAACAGACATTTTAGTAGTTTTTTTTTTTTCGGAAATATTAATTCCATTCCTTACATAGGTCAATATTAAATTAACATTCTGATTATGAATAAAATAAAACAGCGAGACTAATTTGTTCGATATGCAAATAGGCCAATACTTAATAGGCCAGTAGGTTAGCCACATTTTTTTTATATGTATTAGTAATCTTCATGGAGAAATTGAATATCTAAAAATGTATATACAAAAAGATGGAAAGAACTTACCTATTCATTGACTGAACTATATAAAGGTTGCTATAAAATATTTATCATGTTAATTTAAATATAAAGTGCACTTTTTTTCATGTTTTTGAACTTGTGTGTGACAAGGTTGTGGTGTATTCTTTAAGAATCTGGTCCATTATAATATATTGTTTATTTTTGATACATTTTACTTTAAATAGTATAATAAATTCTTTTAAACTATGTTTACTTCTAATTATCGGCCAGTTCTTTGTGAAGTTTTTTAAAATTTGGAATATGTTTTTGCCTATTTAACACTATATTGTAAGTTATCAGCTGCACCATTTGATTAACATTGAAGTTATATCATTAATAAAAGAGATGCATTAGTATAATTATTTTAACTAAATAAAAAAACAAAAAAAAATTGATCAGTTTTATTATGCTTTTTTTTTTTTTATCATTTTAAAACTTTCGAGTAGAAATAGAAACTGCGATTATAGAAATTTAGACACTCGCAAAACCTAGCAGCAAAGCCAAAGATAATCATTAAAAATGACCAAAAATGTTTATAATTAAATTGTTTTTGCTGCTTACAAAGGTTTCATGAGTGTCTGATTTTCAAGTGTTATAATGCTGAACTACCAAGTAGACTAAGATGAATGGTCCACTTGGTAGTTTATTATCTGTGGTTTTTTCCCATTTCACTCTGCAGATCCAGTTTTTTTTTCCAACAAATGATAATTCAACAATAATACAGAACTGGCCACTCTGTTTTCTCTGCATGTACTGTGAATAGATAGCCATACACCTTCTCTAACTTAAAAGAGTTCTTTAATCTTTCAGAAAGTGTTTATGCCAATGCCGTGTGTTACATAAACTGCTATTAAAGATAAACAATTGAAGTATGCTAACCTTAAATGTTCTTTGATAAGTGAATATATTTATAATAAATTAGTAGTATGTTATTGCAATGTGATGTTAATATTAAAGATATTACAGGAAGAGAACGGAGACGACGATAACGATGAATCTGAGAACGATGACGAAGACGACATAAGAGACGACACAAAAGATGACGTAAAAGACAAAGTTAAAGATGCCAAATTGGGAGATCAGGAGTTGAGGAAGAGAAAGATGGAAGACAAAAGCGAAGACTGAACTCTTAGAACAGTTAAAATTAGTATTAAAATATATGCAACGGAATACACGAAACTTATTCCTGCACGGGAAATTCGGATCGAAACATATTCTTCCATAACAAATTGTTCTTAATTTTTTTTAAAAAAAACTTTATTTAAATACATTACTTATGTTTTATATAGTCAAAATGTTTTAGTTATTATCTGTGGTGTGCGTTTATTTAATTTGATTTCAAAACATTTCAATTTCAGATGAAATGCTCAATATTTAATTTTTGATTTATGAAGTTTATACTTATGTATATACACCCATATACACAACGTATAAATATTTTTACATAAAACTACATAAGCAAATATTTTATAAGCAGATAAGAAGAATAAATAGGTAAAAAATTATATTGCATACTTGGAGCGTATTAGCATTTAAATCCGATTTGATGAAGTTTTGATATTTTTTACGCTAGAATGTGTAGTTTTTTTTTAATTTTCAATAGCTTAAAATATTTGTACATTAAACTGTTGAAAGTTTTTGATGTTTTATAATAAATTACATGTATAAATAAACTGTCAAATAATAATTAACATGCTTTCTTAACAATTTAGTAATCAGTTTGTTTCTTTAATTTGTATCTCTTTTGACATTAGAATTTACTTATATTGTAGTTTGAATTAATGAAAATATACAGTAAATATTTATAATTAAACTGTTTTTGGGTTATTATTTTTTTCATTTTAATGTACAAATGTACAAAGTTATAAACCACTATTATTATAATTGTTATAATGAAAAGTATGGAAGTTTCTATTCTCCGACTATAGGAACTAAATGCCATTATTTTATACTCAACTCATACCTTTAGCAAATATGATTTTTATCATCATCATTGCAAAACTAAGAATGGATAACCGTTCCTTATAAGAAAGGGTATCTGCAGCACCTGACCTTCATTTTGGGAGTTGATTTTGAAATTGTGATACCAGTCGACCCCCCTATAACACTGTTGATTATTCCATTTTATATAAATTCCATGTTGTATGAGCCACTTAGATTTTACAAATACGTGTGCCGGGCTGTGAACAGTTCACATATTTGTAAAATCTAAGTGACTCGTACAACGTGTAATTCATATAAAACGGAATAATCAACAGTGTTATAGGGGGGTCGACTGGTACTAATAATTGTCTATCAAAACTATAATGTCAAAATTAAGCTTAGTATCTAAGAATAAGATCACGAATTCACTTTTCGAATTGTATATTTACATAAATATCCTACTGTAGTTCTTTCGAGTACAGCTTTAAAAAAGTTTTAAATCGTATTTTGGGATTTATTTCATTTTGTAATCATTATTATTACTATTTCCAAGAAGTAATTATAATATACTATAATTATACACACTATTAGCTGTATTAAGATTCTCTCTACCTGCTTACGTGGTGCATTTGCATTAATTCGGCTTTCAAAATTAAAATGTACAAGTATTTACAATATTTTTATTTTGAATTCCTCTTCCTCTACAAATTTGTCATTATTTTTCCCAAACATTTTGTAATGCGAAGAAATTGAATTACATTATGAAGAAGCAAAATTACTATATGAATTACTTTCATTTGTAATATTCTCTACAGAACAAGTAGACTTAAACGTACTAGTATTAAACATATGTAATTGCTAATAACCATTTCTGACAGGCCATCATTTTTGTATTATTGAGAAAAATTAAGGTATCGAAAAATTATTTCTCAAACACTTATCAGTTTTGCTAACTGCTATCTTTGGCACTTTTTTAACGGGGAATTATCATACTCATTATTAACAATGATACTTCCGACGTACGATAATATAGTACGATCTCGGCAATCTGACATATACGGAGCCTGAACGTGTCATATTCTGGAGATTGCCAGATTATTGGAAGTAAGATGAATTTGATGGTTTAATCATTTGAGAAGAAAACATTGATTTGCATGATATTGGTATGTATAAACATATACAGAACAGCAATAAAATATGAAAGGAGAGCAATTGTATGTTACTGTATTTTAGAGTTCTCAAATTAATTGTCAGTTCTTTAATTTTCAATTGTCTGCTATTTTATCATCCAACTGCTATTGCTGTAATTGTTGTGGTCAACTTGGTAGTTTCCCACTATGTTTAGTGGGAAATTTCAGAGGACTAGTATTTATATTTATACTGTATTATTATTGTAAGATACTGTACCTTTTTTGAGCATCTTAAGATGATAAGCTGAACAATCTTTAATATTGGGAAGCTTATCTATGACAACAGTACTAGTAACAGAGTAATGCCCACTAGTGTTGGATTACTGGATATGTCAAAGAAGAAAATGGCTGGATTACCAAGATTGTACTACTGTATAATTCCAAAATGCTTTTTATTGTATACATCAAATACAATTAAAAAGTTCCCTCACTTCAAGATTATGGCTTATTGTCCACAAACAGGAAAATCTGGAAAATTTAAGATTTCATTAATGTATAAATTGTCCTTTAACTGCAGAAATCTTGAACCATAAGTAGTGATACAAATGGTCCAAGATAGGGAACAAAGGAGAAACACAGATCATTATCATAAAACTGGCTTTGTTTATACATATTTGTCTTTATTTTTCATCTCTTATTCTTTATTTGCATACATATTGATGCAAATAAACCATGACGACGACAATCAAAGTTTTAGAGACTTGATTCACGTGAATGGGAAGAGGAAGAGAATATTGATACCGGCTGCTTTGAACCACCATCTAATGCAGTGTTAGGTACAGTACAATATCAATATCGCTTGATACAGCACTTCAGAATGAGTTTGAAGAAGCTCTAGAAAAATAGTTTTATAACAGCTTTATTATATAAACTTCCCATTACTGTATTTAGCAGAATAGTTCTAAAATTTTGTAATTGCATTGTAATATTTTGCTACAGCCTGTATTTGTTGTTTGTCTTAGTTTTTTGTTATGTGTCTATGTTTGGAAAAGTTGCAAAAAACTTGTTATTCTCCTGTTTTGTATTTAAATTTAAAAATAACATAAATAAAAGTATACAATGTGATCCACAGATTTTAAGACAAGGTTTGTATAAAGTAAAAACAATTCACCAGAATAATAATTAAAATTTTTTAAAAATTAACAAGTTCCTTTATAGCTGATACACTGTTGAATTATTTTTCAATTGTTTCGAGCCTATTACAAAACTCCTCTTTACAACAATTTCATTTTTGGAAATGTTGATTGAATCTTTAGTCTTTTAACTGCAATATTAATTTTGGAAATAAATTGTTTGGGTGATGGGTTAGATGAGTAGAATGGATGATCTAATGTTAAGACTTAGGACTTTTAAGTCAAAAACTGCCATACAATAGTTATTCCTACAGCTATGCACGAGAAACAAAATGCACAGTTTTTGTTTATTTAAATTCTCTGTTAATATGTAGAGAACTACAACTTTTAATTTTTTCAATTTTTCTGCTATTATGCAAGAAGTGATTCGTCAATCATTTTCTACTAATTCTGCAACAGCACCAATTTCTGTTTGATTTGTATGGCAACCATCGCGCTTATCATCCTTTACGGATTCTCTCTCTTCAAAACAAAGAACACAAACGATGGCGACTTTCCTTTCGCAATTTAAAGTAAACTTTGAATTTGTGATATTCGAGGAATCGGTAAAAGAGAATTTATTAGTATTATAACTGCATTTAATAATTATAATTAACACTCCAATATGGCTTATCAAACTGTATTGGAGTGTTAGAAAGTCGAAATCGCATCAAACACTCCAATTTGGTTTGTTACGACTCGTACCGTACATCTCCACCAATTGATAGTTTGAGATTATTATTTATACCGTTGTACACTTTCAATACATTTTGTACATATAAAATATTCTACAAAGATTGTTAAATGTTACAAGTATAATATTTCCCAACTATGTTACAAGTATAATATTTCCCAAAGAGTTTCATTTGCATTATTTCATTGTGAAATGTGAATAATGAATGGAACTGCATACATCCCACTAATTTAGGGTTTAAATATGACTAAAATATTATATAATATTCCATTATATTTCTATAAATGGATGTCGGTACAGACACAAATTAGGAAAAATTAAATTTGTAAGCACGTGTAGTACGCAAATCAGCAATGTGTAAAAAGGGCCTTATCCGATAGCAGAAAGACTTGTCTCCCACAATATTTTTCTACTAGAAAATTGGAAGGGGGTTTCAATGTATTTTTTTATTCTTCTTTTGTATCATAATACAAAAATTAAAACAGGAATGAGTACTGGACACCACAAATACACCTAATTTTGTGTAAACACTGAAAATTAATCCCCAACATTTATCCAATGCTTAAAAGGCCTCTAAAATCTTAACCTGCCAATACATAACAATTAAAACGTTTTTGATCAGTAGCCAACAAGAACCTAAACGATAACAACTGTATACAGAATTGTATTTTTACAAAGAAAACTTTACCGTAACCACCATTGTTATTTTGTCCTTGGAAATTTCGTTTACACCAATCAAAATATTTCCTAGTAATATTTTCGCAAACAAACTAATTAGCGGTAACGAAATTTAATAACTTTAATCCCCAATTTATACCATTTTTTCTTTCCATTTTTCAAATATAAAAAGAAATTCGTAGTGAGATACGCCTCTAAGAATTTGGGAAAATTTAATATCGTGACTTAAAACAAGACACGAATCGGTCACAAAGTCAAGCAGCAACACGCGAGAAACAGGAACTTGAGTTTTTTCCCCCTCCTTTTATTTTTTTAAAGGGTTTTGTAGCTAGTGTTTAATAAAACTCGATGTTTTGAAAGTGTTAGTGTTTGAAATATATAGAAAAAAAAAACACAGTAATCCGGAAAGCTTTGTTAAAATGAGTTCCAAGGACGAAAACTGCGGGTGGGTGCTTACCAGGAAGAGGAATTTGCAAAGGTGGAAAGGAGATTTAAACTGTCAATCACGGAAGGTTCGCTCGGAGCACGTGTTAAAACCACGAAAATCCGAGATTTTAAGTTGTAAAAAATGATATATATATAACCGATCTGCGTTTATATTCACGCTTGGAGTCGGACACAAGTCGAACTACTACAGTCGACGATGACTAAACGCTTTACACGCATTTTCCAGTTACTCGAGTTTGGTCGTAAGTGTCGGAGGAACGACGCGACTTCGCATCGCGCGCGCGTAACAATCGCCAAAGCGATTTTTTCGACTTGTCTCCCCGTTCTTTCCTCCCTCCCCGCCTCGTCCGTCTAGTCTCGATGGCAGAGCTCGTCGAGCCGACGGATCCTGGACCAAGTTTAAACACGGAGCTCGATGGTGAAGCGGAATCGACGAGACGACGAGTCGATACCATGGCGTCGTCGTCATCGGTGGGCGAAGGACCCACCGACAGCGCACGCACCATCACACACGAACTTAAAAATGGTAAGTCGCTCGTCTATTACTAACAATAGGGATTTAAAAGATCGAAGCCGTGCTCGTTCGGGGAGGGATAAACCCAATCTCTCAAGGTCGCGCGCCGTCGACCAATCCCGTAACTCTCGTTGACAAGACGTTCGCGTGTTTTCTTCGCGCCGCGACGCGCCGTGCGGCGCGACACTCCCGCCATTCCTTAATTAAAACGGTTTCTTTCGCTACTCGTAATTCCTACGCTTTAGAATGAAACGGCATCCGTCGGATAATGTGGAATTTACTTTATTAAATTTGTTTCGTCTACTCCGATACGCTACTGATTAATCAAACAGATGTGTAGGCGATTAAAAGAGGAGGAAGTACGAGTTTGCTAAGTGCAGCTTTGACTTTGACTCTGTTGCACTTCTTTCAGTTTTGTTTTTCCTTCTTACTGAAGTCTATTTTTAATTTTATTTGTTTTACAGAATCATTTTTCCTTTCAGTACGCATCTTTAATTTATATTGACACTTGCACGTAGACGGTTCAATTTTGTTTTAATACTCGATTTCGTCACCTTACTCAATAGATTACACATTAAAACGCCATTTTTTTTTAATCATCAGAATATAAATTTTAAATAAAGTTACGCTTTTGATTATTAAAATTAATAAGTTTTTGAAAGTTTTGAATTATTCTTCCCTAAATTTTTGGGTGCCTGGTGATAAACTGTACAATTTTAAAGTAATTTTTGAGTAAATTTCGTGTTAAAGTGCTTTTATTTACTATTTATAAATGGTGTTAAAAGTTGCCGATAAACAACTGTGATTGATACGTAACACACAAACAGTTTTTTTTATATTAATGTAACTGTCGTAAGCGGAATATTTATGAATATAAATGAATCGGTGGGGTTTCTCTTAAGTGCTATATTTATCTTGATGTTCCGCGTATGAATAGATCGTGCGGTGCTTCTGACATATTTCTGCTGCTGATGTATTTACTCGAACTGTTTTGCTCTACGAAAGATTACTTTTACCCGAAAAGAATATTTATTGCGTTGAACGGTGTCCGATTTAGGTGAAGCGAAAAGTTATGCGCCCCTAAAATCGGTGCATCCTAGGCTATAGCCTAGTCGGCGTGTTTGGTAATCGGGTGCCGGTGATGAGTAAAATATGTCAATGGTTGTTTACTACGGTGTTATCATTTTCTGAAAGTGTGGAGAGAACATGATATTCCTTTACGATAATACAAAAATCTTTAATTAAATCAAAATTTAATATATTTTTAAAGAATTTGAAGTTATTTCTCGTTATACTTTTTGGATACTTGATAACGTAACTTTGGGTCTTTAATTTTGAAACATCTTTGGAGTTTCTTTACATGCCGTTTGTTTTAAATGTGGATAAGCACTTTTATACTTATGACGGTGCTTTAAATTGACAGGAATGAGATGTATGGTCTCATTTGTGCCACTTTAATCCACTAAACTTTCATACGAGTTAATCATATAAAGGAGACAAGTTATCCATGACCAGATGAGTCACTCTTAGTGGAGTGAAGAAACCCACTATATGTATTTTTTGCTGATTTGTATAAATGTAAGTAAGCTGGCAGTTATTATTAGTTTAAATGATTGTCATTGGATGTTATAAATACCATGTTTAATTATTATTTTATTACTTTCATATGTGATAAATATTCATAAGTAGAAATTACGCTAAATAATTATTAGATTAAGTGAAGCATGTTTAAATTTTATTTAAATGTATTTGTAGTATTTTAAACATGATTTATTTATTTATTATCTTTGTTATAAGGTTATATAGGGTCCTGTAAAATTGTTAGTTTCAATATTACTGTACATTTTGATTAATAGCTTAAAAGGAAGTGAAAATTTTACAGTAGAATCTAGTTTTTCATTCGTTTACATAATTAGCATCCTATCAATTTTTATTTTATTATGTTGTTGTCTATAATCATGCCAGTGTGACTGATAAAAGTTTGATAAAGTATTGTTTTATGTTATGACACTGATATTGATAAATCATAGGGATGTATTAGCACTTAAAAACATATTATTTTATAGATAATCTTCAATTAGCATTATACAAGTGACTTATAGAAATGAGTTTAGTCTTCATGATACGTTTAACTCATGATACGTTTAACTTTTTTAATGCTTATATATTACTTTATAACTCTATATAAGCTGCTTATGATAAAAGTATTGTAATTTTGTGAGGATAACGTGCAGATTAGCTGTGTTTAGAAATCAAATTGAAAATATGCGCAGGTTGTGATGGGGATTTCTGCTGATTTTAACTCAATTACAATCAATCAAACAGCCTTTTTTTCTTTGTTCAAACTTACCAAGATCATCTTTAATTAAGTATGGTGGTTACTGGCTCAAATATAGAAGATTAAATATATATTTTGAAAACTGACAACTTTCTGATAATTTTTTGCTCTCTATATGATAACTTTCGGAGAAGTGTTTAGCCATTTTTTATGGAATATACTACATCCATTGCATTATAAGTTGTCATAGATTATATACATGGAATTACAGAATCAGTTAAACTGTAAATAATTGAAAAGATTGATAGTTTAGTTAGCAAACTGTGCTTTAGAGTTTAAGTTTATATAATGTGGAATGAAAGGATATTTACAGAAATGAAGGCTAGAATTAAGCTGTAATTTATATCTTCAGTTACTCATAAAACCTTTAAAAACAGCAAAAACAATTTAATTATGAATGTTGTCAGTCATTTTTAAAGACCATCCTCAAGTTGGGCTTTAAAAAATGACCAAAAATGTTAGTAATTAAATTGTTTTTGCTGTTTTTAAAAGTTTTATGAGTGTCTGAATTTCCATATTTACAGTTTCTACTTTTAGTGATTTATATCTGTCTCTATCAGCATCTTAGCCATAGTTTTTAACCAATGACAGTTGTCAAATAGTTACTCAGAAACAAGGAAGTGTTGCATAGGAAATATATAGCTTACAGCATATGCTATTACTGATTTATATAATCAGTCATGTTTGGAACTCAAAATTACTTGAACCTTTTTCTTGTATATTTTCCATTTCTGCTACAACAGATCAAACTTATCCCATTTCATAATAGAGTCTAAAATAAAAGTATTACCCCAAAGTTTTGCACTTTTGGTCTGTGTTTATTTTAAACAAAAATGTTGTGTGTATAAACTTAATATTAAGGTAAAGAAATTGTTTTTTTCCCTTAGTATAATTAAATTAATTAAAAATCTACTAATGTGAGGTAGATAATAAGGACATATCACTGGTGTGATTATCTACTTCACATTTTAAATAGGTATTTTTCTCTATTTAAAATCATTGAGAAATGTGTGTGATCTTCTTAAGTAAAGATAATGTCAATGTTTTCTGAATGTCAGTATGATTATTAATTATGAATGAGTTAAAAATTTTTCACTTATAAATCAAACTGTTGAAAATGCAAATTTAAAAATAATCTTTTCCACTTGTTTAGATATCAAAAGCATTTAGTTTATGTAGATGCATTTAAAATTGCAATATTTGAGCATAAGTGTGCATGCCAAAATGCCAGATACGTGTACTGTTATATGCACATTATAATGCCTGAAGTGTGCATTATGTATGTTAAAAGTGCCAGTCATTTACACCAAAATTTGTAAGTTGAAATGCATAGTACTCTTCTTCTGTCTGTGAGCAAATCTCACCAATGTCTGTTTACATCAAGTGGGAGAAGATAAACATGCAAAGGGATTTGAAAATCATGTCACATAACATGCATTAGAATAAAATAATTGTATAAAAGTATCTTAAAGTACTTTATTAATAAATACAAAGTCATATGTTTCAAAAGTGACTTCACAGCGTGTTTGTGTGAAGTTCAATAGTAAATTTTTTTTTGTTAGAAAACAATAGTACAAAATGAATTTTTGTCTTCTAATGTTCCAATTTCTTCCTTGTCTTCTGGCACCCTTTAGTATCATTCGCTTGGACTTGGTAGTGTACCACTTTGAAAATCAATGAAAGTACACAATGAAGTTAGTTACGAATAAAATTACATGTTCAATAAAACTTTATAACTTTTCTACGCTATCTAATCAATCATTATTGAATTTGTTTCTATATATACAATTGTTTACAAGATATTTTAGGATGACTGGGTTAAAATAATGTGAATTAGACGTTCAAATTTGCAAGCTCATCTGTAATTAGGTGGTGGAGTGATATTCTCATAGGAACTGTACATACACAAAAATGATTCACTACATAGATAGTAGAAGTAGACTTCAGATGATTAAAAAAAAATAGCACTTGTGATTATGCAAATAAGATATAAAGTTTATAAAGCACTTACTTAGTCCTGAAAAGGGTGAAACCTGCAAAATATGCATTAAAAATCATAAATACATATATAATTACCTCTTTCTAACCTGTTACCGGTGTGTCTACTAACTCTTAACGATCCAAAACGAATCAAAACTAACGTTTTCGAACCCTTAACCGGTTCTTCTTCAGGTTTTTTCGAATCTCTGATGGAAAATGCAGCTCGTAAAAACTTTAAATTCGAAATATGTAAGTTCGAATGCACGTTTCCCGTTTCCGTCGTTGTATGTCATGCGCAGTCGACTCCAAACGGGCTATCATAAATTACTATTCATAAACGCTAGCCACGCTGTTGATAACGTAATCTCTTCTTTATAATTGATGCATTGATTATCCTTAAGGTTAGCCAAATATATGCTGGCCGCCTCTAGCCATCTGATATGGTGTACGTGCCGTGCGGTGCGGATAATTCTTGCTTTCTTAAATTCGGGTTCTATATCTGGATCGGAAGCATATACTGCTAGGGTCGTCGTGTTCCTTTGTTTCTGAATATCCGCAGCGTGTTCTTTGAGTCTAACCTCTAAGGATCGCTTGGTGGAGCCCACATACAGAAGGTTTTTATCACATCTGCGATCTATAATCGGTATGCTGTAGACCCCTGACAGCTTATCCTTGTCCGGTTGATCTTTTCCGTTGGTTAGGATGTTGAAGATCGAAGCGCATCTTCTGTATGCTATACGTATGTGGTTCTTTTTAGCTATTTCTCCATATATTCTTCCAATATACGGATTATAAGTGACCGGAATGATCTTATCCATATCTTGTCGTTCTTCTCTTAGCGGAAGGTCTTGAGTTGTGTTTTGATACTCATGCCATAACTTGCTTACGAGTCTGCCGTATCCGTGTTCATCGGCTATTCTTTGTATACATCCTAGCTCTGATTGTAGGGCTGGCTCGGTAGAAGAGTGTGTGTGTGCTCTCTTAATTAGAGCCTTAAATGGTGCCACTTTATATTGCGGTGGGTCACATGACCCTACTGGTATGTATATACCTTTTGTTCCTAGCTTACGGTATACTGCCGTTTGAATTACCGACTCTTCTACCTTGATATCAATATCCAGGAAGTGTATATTCGTTTGGTGCGCTTGTTCTATTTCTAAGGTTAATCCATATGTGTTATTATTCATTGTGTCGACGAACGCCTTTATGTCCGGTATTTCTTTCCATAATATGATAATATCGTCAACATATCTCTTGTATAAAATGATGTTGTGAAGGTGGTGTGGTAGGACCTTAGCTTCGAGTAGTCTAACCACCATCTCGCATAAGTCCCCAGAGATCGGACTACCCATAGGGACTCCTCTTCCTTGCGTGTACACGCTACCTTTGAATTGGAAGAATGAATTGTAACACAATAGATGGGCCATCTCCAGAATTTGCTGGTGTACCGTATTATCGTTGATGATAGATAATAGTAAATCTCTGATGGCGCAAAAGGCAGGCGGGAGAAGGATTGATGGAAACAGCGACTTGAAATCCAATACTGTGAGAAATTTTGGTGTTACGGTGATCTTCTTTAGGGTCTCTATTAGGGTCATAAATACATATTTTATTTGCATTTTTAAAAGTGCTTATAAAATATACTTTATCAGACAGTATTAATTGACCTACTTGGACCGAAATCATGTTCAACATCATAGTATTTAAGAAGGAATACATGCAAGTGCATACAAGTCCAGCTCTTACAAATAACTTTGTTAGAATATTTAAATGAGAGCAGAACAGATCTGTTTGAAGAATGTGACTGTTTTATCTTTTATTATTTAGTTTATAAGTGAACTTTTATGTAATGTAAATTTGATAATTTCTTCATATTTGTGTACGTTTGTTTTAATTTTAAAATAGCTAATTCTAGATAAGTATTCATGCTGTCTTTAATAAAAAGAAAAAAATTTTATAACTAAATAAAATTTACTTTAGCTGCGTACCTGGAAATCACCAAAGTTTCTGACTTTGTAATTCTCAGATTGCTGCACAAAATATTTGCTGATAACTTTTGTATTAATATTATTATTTTGAATTCGCGATATAATGGCTTTCTTTTACATAAATGCAAAGTAAAAATATTTGATTTTACATTTTGAGATTTTTTTCCTCTAGAAGGCATTCCACAAGACTTCATTTTCATCACTCTCTTTTTCATCACTCTCTTTTTCATTGTTTACAGAATTCTTTCTCGTTCTCCCTCTTTTACTGTTACATATGAAGATGACATCAAACTAACAACTACTATAAAACTTTACAACAAACAAGATCTAAACAAACCAATCCTTGAACTCAACAAAATCAATCTTTCAATCAATAGTAAAATATAAAATGTTGTTGTGATGAAACTGCTGTTTAATATAAAATTTTATGCTGACAATTATGAAATTCAACAAATAGTTGACCTCTGTTTAACCTTTGATCCCAAACTTATTTTCCATTTACAAATAGACAATTTAATGAACAGATATCTATACATTGTGAAATAATTTGGAGTAATTGTAAATTTATTATCTCCAAAACTGTTCTTTGCTTGCTATTTTTGTAAACATTCAGTCACAAGTAGACTATGCTATCACTATCTGGTCAGCTGCTTCTCTCTCTCTGCTAAACAAACTAAACACTGACCAGTCCAATGTCTATTTCTTACTAAATAAGTTTCCTGTATTTCTTCCACAAACAATTATTTCCAGTGTTCACTTAAGTCTTCCAGAATTTAAAATGCATTTCATATTTTGAACAAATTCTCACACACAAATTCTTTCTACTTCTTTCTTTCCACATAAATTTTAAAATTCCCAACATAATTAGTACAAATAAATTGTATTTTCATGTTTCATTCCACCAAGTAAATGTTACAAACTGCACTTTCTTTACATATTTTTTCTCTTCCACATTAATCCTAGATCAAAAAGCATAAATCATTAGTATAGTAACACAAAGCTTCACAAATTTACGACTATTTTATTAATTAGTTCACGTCAGAATGCTGACTGACAGTAATATAACGAATATATGATGAAATATGTTAGATTTGAAAGTTCAAACATTGAATCATAATTGCTGCAAATAAATTTTATAATAAACACATTGATTTGCATGATGTTTCTTGCAGTATGCATGGTTGCACTGGCTACAATATGTAGTAGTTATTCATTTTTTCTTGAAAGGCAGATGTGACAAATTATTCTTTTGTTTCCAGAGGTTAAATTCTTTCCGGAAATAACAGGATTTTTCTGTAAAATATTTTCTATGAAAAGGTGCAATTGTCAGCGGCAGCCTTATCCATTGCGAGGCCCTGGGCGGCAGATCTTTGCGAGGCCCTGGGCGGCAGAACTTTGTGAGGCCCTTGTCCTTTGTGCAAAGTATGTGAATTGAAATAGTAGGCACTTATTAATATTAATATATACTGTACTATATATTAAATTTATTTTATTGTTATAACTAATAGCCAAGGATAAAATAAAAAGTTTTAAATATCAACTTTTTTCTACTTGGTTGTTGCGCGAGGCCCCTCCAAGAGCGAGGCCCCGGGCGATTGCCCTGCTCGCCACCCCCTAAGGCCGCCACTGGCAATTGTATCTGCATGGTGTGTGATTCTAGCCTTTTCTTCATTCATGGTTTGCTTATCTCTTCACTTAGATGGATGAGGAAATCATTTCTCTTTATTTCCTTCATGTGTCCAACATGTAACTGAGTAAAATGAATAATAATTCTGTTTGGAATGTGACAATATGATTGACTAGCAGGTTGTGCAGAGAAGCAATGATAATTTTTTTCTCTAATAATCATTTTTGGAGAAATAAGTATACTTGGATTTTCTGGAGCAAACAGAGCGTTTTCAATCATTTCACTTTCATTTTCTGAACTCTCTTCAGAACATGAGATCTCCAGTTTCCAGCACTTACGATTAGGCTGCTGTTGATGTATTGTGCACTCACTATCATAGGTGTTGTCAATATATTGAGCAAGTTCATATTTCATGTCCTCTACTTTCTCATCTGTACTTGCATCATTCTCAGATCAGAGATTTTTTTGATACCAAAGAAGATCGTGCATCATTCTCAGATCAGAGATCTGAGAATGATGCACGATCTTCTTTGGTATCAAAAAATCGTAAAATTTTCTTCTCAAAATTGAGATCATTTGCTCAAACAATACTTGTCTACAATAATGATTACAAACTAAAGAATAAAAAAAAAAAGTGTATATATCAATGATTCCCAAACTTTTTTGATCCACTGTCCCCTTGGTTCCATAAACTTATACTCAACACCCCCAACCATACCCCAATACCCTGAACCAATTTTCCCTTGTGTGAGAACATCTTGGAAATATTTTTAGAAAAACTTTTCTACAAACCCCACATTGTATCCTAACCAGGTATTGTTCTCCACATCTGGAAACCATTAAATGCAATGTTTCTTCTTACCTGTTTTAATAGAGGAAAGAGAAAGATTTGTCAGTGACTCAAACCTTGTCTATAGTCACCATTTAGTCAGGACCCTGCCTTCAATGCCTCCTTGCTGCCCTCTTAGTTTTTGCCGCCCTTCATTTACTCACTGCCCATAGGGAGGCAGTAGTGTCCACTTTGGAAATGACTGATCTATATGAATTATGCCATATAAAGACAAAATTCACATACGCATGAAATAAAATCACAACTTTCCTTATTCTAGGCACCACACACACAGTCACAAAGCTTTGTATAATTGATGAAAGTTTCAATTATCCTACAGACAAATAATTCCAAAAAGCTGCACATGTTACGTACAATCCAAACAACATTCATTCATTCATTCATTCATTTTTATTTACTATGTACTGTCAAGTACATTCCTGGCCCCGCATGGAGCATTACCAGGAGATAAACAATACAAATACATCCAAGCAACATTGTAGGAAGATACTAAAAACAACAGCAAGATAGTGCAAAACAAGGAGAAAAATAAGAATTGACCAACTCGTATCGTAGAAATGATAGCGAGGTTGAAGCCGAAGTTTTAAACACAAAAATATCTATGTCGGACGTTCAGTGCCGCTTTCTTGTAAGCCTACAAGTTTGACAATGGTGTTTGGAATGTCGAGCATGATTCCACTGACTAGCCAAACACCATTGCCAAACTTCTAGGCTTACAGGAAAGCGGTGCTGAATGTCCGACGTACACGTTTTCGCATTTAAAACTTTGGCCTCAATTTCACTGATGATGCTTTGTATTCTAGGGTTAAATATTGAAAAGTTACTTTATTTAAATTTTCATTTATTCGAAAACTTTTATAAAAAGAATATTATATAATTAATTAATTGGACTTCGAACTCACATTTGAGTTATAAATAAACAGCAGTTGAACATGGGTCAATCGGTCCTAAGGGATGGGAGAAATCCGTTCCGAAGCGTGACATCTTAATTTTTTTCACTAAAAATGATGGAAATAAAGCCAAGTGTTTATTTATAACTCAAATGTGAGTTCGAAGTCCAATATATTCGCAAAACACTGTTTCAAAAACAACATAATGAATTAATCCTTCATCTTAGTTTTTTTAATTGTTTTTTTTTTGTTTTGTTTTATACTTTGTATGTTTTAATGAATTTTCTATTCTGCTTGGTAGTGGTGGCATTTAACCTTTGAGACTTCACTTGTATTATTAAATAAAAATAAATAAATAAATTTAGCAATTTTATTTACTTTTGTTAGCAAAAAAAACTTATAAAAGGTAATTAAAATTTTTTAAAATCAAATAATTGGAATAACATTCTGAAACAATGTTAAAATTACAGTAGAGCATTGATTATCCCACCCCCGATCAACCATCACATCAGTTAATCGACTGCGTTCTAGTCGGCAAAGTTTTGTCTTTGCATGCAGAAATTAAAAAATGCTAAGTGAGAGAGATTTGTTATCAATATAGGTCATTCACTGATTCGGTGATCATATGCACATTTATGGCATATGATCACTGCTACATAGTATATACTTCAGTAAAATTAAATTTTTTACTAAACATATTATATATAATATATAAATGATGATAGCTGAAATTATGACATTTCACTTAAAAAAAATTGGTTAATAAATCATATTCCAAACTTTTTAATATAAATAGTATTGTATACATTTCATGTTTCTAAAGACACTTGTTGACTTTAGGCAAAAGATAAATTGTTAGTTTTTTGGATATGCTTTTTAAATTTATATTTTAAAATAAAAAAATTAAGAAAAATAATTTATTTGATTACAAGTTAGATTGGAATCTTCAGAGAAATTTTCATATTGATGTGTATTTATACAATAAAGTGTTTGTAATAGTATGTTATGATACCAGAGAATTTCATGCGATATCATTTACTTGGTCGGATAATTACTGTATTTTAATACGAAGTGCTATAGTTTGAAGGTACTTGGGATAGCTAGTTACATTTGTTTGATTCTCTCTCGGGAGTAATTACTTTTATTGGCAGGCTTCCAGATGTAAACTATGGATATCTTGAATATCAAGAATGATATTGTAATATGGTAATTAAAACAACAAATGGTACCAATTTTGTTCTGC